CTGTCATTTTGGAAATTACAAATACCCTTTTATCAAAAAAAATTATTTAACAAAATTAACTAAAAAAATAAAATTCCGAACTATACTTTCCTATATAACAATAAAATTATTTGAATTGCTATAATTGAAATATATTTCTAACATCATTAAAAATTACTAATCATCTTGATGATTTATTAATAAAATGGGTAATTTGTTATGAGATTGGAAACTTGAATGGATGGGATATAATTTCTAAAACCATAAAGGACAATTTGTATTTTAAGTAAATTTTAAGAGGTGTATTTATAATTTATTCAAAAAATAAATAAAAAAAAACACGTGGCAATATGTAAGCCTTGAAACAGAGAACGGGCACAAAAGTTGGAGACATGGGATCCTAACTCAAAAAAATGGCTTTCTCGACTTGTTTCCGGTTAGTCAATTTAGTGAAAAAAAATTATTCATCCCCTAATTAAAGCCTTCTAATTCTACATTTAATGATGTGGCTAAAATCCACATGAAGACACATTCTCACTCATCTCTCTCTTAAACTTTACCTTTTTATTCACATCATTGGAGTAAAATTGAGGAGCTCAATAAGGAAAATATAGCAGGATTGTTTATTGAATGTGAATCGAAATTGCTCTCTAACTTTGTCTAAAAACAAAAGTATTAAGAATCAACTATGTAAAACAATTAGGGCTTCGACTGTCTCCAATTGGGCTAACCAACTGGACGGTCCAATCTGGTCTGTTATTGGCTCATTTTGGGCCAATCTTGATGATCCAAACTGTTAAATATGTAGGGCTCGTCGAGTATTTCATCTTTGCAAAAAATCACATTGATCGGGTATCAATAGCTATTTGATCAAATCACATTTGTGTGAATAATTTATTTTTAAAATCATAATTACCGTTGACACAAATTTGATCTAATCAAGTGATTATTATCTGATCAATGTGATTTTTTGCAAGGATAAAGTACTCGATGAGCTTTACACATTGAACAGTTCGGATCATCGATGTAGCTCCGTGGTAGGCCCACGGAAGCCCAACAACACACTCAAATTCGATTTCGGACTGAAGAAAAGCCACTGCCAAACAATTTTCACTATATACATGAGATAGTGTTTCACTTATATTACAACCTATATTTTATGTGATTAATTCACTTATTAGTTCTTTGTCTATAAATTTATTATTAAATTTGCAAGAATAAAATGAAAAAATACGCACAATTTGTTAAGGAGATAATTGTAAAAAAGTTTGAGGTAAGGAAGATATAAAGCATTATGTTCAATGGATATTTTTTGTTGGTGAAAGGTCTATCCTTTATGAAATAGTTGAGAAATTCTATTTCCACACACCTAATTAACTCAGTCTACATGTTTAATGAAATATTATTTTAATGACAATTATATCCTATATTAAAACAACCATAATACACATCCACCAACACCCATAATATTATATCAAAATAATATTCTTCGCACACACCTTATTTCTCAAATTGCAGAGCTTGCCAGGCTAACAATAGAATCTGCAGCTTTAATTTCTCCAATCCCAAAAAGCAATTCGTATGTTTTTTATCTTACAATCAAATCTCTCACCTATTGATTTGTCAACTCGGCCTAAATCGAATAGCAATGTTGTGTTCGATTTTTGTATTCATGTGTTTGTTAGCTATTTTATCAATTACTTTGGTAATTATGAGCATATCTTGGGAAGACAACCAACTTGGCCTTGTATGTCTTCAGCCTCTGCAGATTAGTCTGAAGACCCTCGAGGGAACGGTTCTTGCAATGATGATTAACAGCTATGCCAATGATTGGGGCAAGTTTTTTTGGAATACCTGCTGCCTGGTTGGAAGAAAAGGGTAGTGATAAGCAACAAAAATATGTCATTTGAAGAAATTCTAGATTCAAAAGGAATACAAGAATTTTCCAGTTTGTGTCACAATCAAATATACTCGCAAATACCTCCATTCTCTTTTCCATCCTTTTTCTGCAACGATATCCTCATTCTCTCTTCGATCAATCACCCAAACATGCGGCGGATAAGGATGATCAGTTTGATGTGAGGGAGGTGGTAGCGGAGTTGAAAAGGATTCGCAACCAAACACGAGGTGGCAGCAGTGAAGGTAGTGGAAGTTTGAAGAGGGCTTTGGAGGAGGGTTGAATGTATGGAAAGAAGGTTAAGTGTGTGAAAAGAAAGTTGAGGTGGTGTGTGTACAAGATATGAGTTAAGGCTATGATTGTAATAACTTGTGTGTGGAATGAGAACACAAATTAATAATCAAATTACTAAGTGTGTATACCGAGAAATGATGTGTATAGAGGTAAGTAGGTGCGTAGAAATAGAATTTTCCAAAATAGTTTGGTGAGAAGTTCTTTTGTTAGTTTTGGATGACATTTTGTTTCTAATTTTATTCATTAATTTATCTGTTGACTTTCGTTGACTATCTGTTCAAATTTTTTTCCCTATCTGTTCAAATTTTTCCTATCTATTCAAATTTTTTTCCTATCTGTTCAATTTTTTCCCTTATCTGTTGAAATACCAAGCCAAACCAAATTTTATTATGTGTTTAAATTGTGATACGTACACAAAGAGAGACTAATCTATTCACATTTTTTTTTATTTGTTGAAATCAAATTCTCAAATAGAGAGAGAGATGAGAGAGTGACATATTGAAATGCACTAAGCCACTATCTGTTCAAATCTTTTTCTCTTTTTCTCTCTTCTTCTTTCTCCTTATCTGTTGAAATTTCCATAACAATAACATTTATTAATTCATCATCTATTATTTGATTTAAACATATCAAGTCTACAACAGATACAAACAACCCTAACAAATCAAACAAATCAGATAAAAACGGAATAGAGAGAGATAGATTGAGCTCTTTAGATACAAAGTAGGGTTGTGCTTGTGCATAGGTCAGCTGAGGGAAAAAATTTCAACCAAATAGCCCTTGGCAAGTTAGGAGTTTTCCTATACACCAAACCACCAAATCCTCTAAACTAGTGGGTTGATTGAAGTATTCTAGGGGTTTCGAACAAGTGGAGTGAAATCAAACAACACCCAAAAAAATAAAAATAAAATTGATCGAAAACCTATTTTTTGAAATGATCATGAATTTTGATTACAAATAACAAAAATCACTCAACAAGAGCGTTAATAACTCATATTAGTTGCAGAACTACTAAATTTCATTAGGCAACAAAATATTGATATTTTGGCCGATGGTATTAGCAATGACTACTTTGACGATCGAACGACCATGATCGAATTCACCAAGAGGAAAGAGAGAGAGTTGGCGAGGTCAAATCTGTATTGGCGAGGTCGGAGCTTTGACTGCCATGACTACATATTCTAGATCAAAGCTCGACTCTTGTTGTCGAAGAGTCGTGGTCGCCAACGATGATGGCTCTGGATCTCACGGCGGTAGTAGGTTTGGATTTAGCGGCAGATCTAGATTCGGCGGTGGTGATGGATTTGAATCTTGTAGCTGGAGCAGCAAATGACGGCGGATGAGCAACGATAGACTCTCAACGACGAATGAGGGACGCAGAGATGAGAAAGAGATATAGAGAGAGAAAGATAGCGGTCTGCGGCGAAAGGAGACAGTGGCAATGGTAGTAGTGGAACGGTTTTCATTGCCGGTAACAGATGAAACCTCTAGAGGTCTCTAATTATGAAGCAAACCCTAAAGGTCTCTCTCTCTCTCTCTCTCTCCACTCTTATGGCGTCGATCACTCCAACGTTGACTTACACTAGCGATGTCGCCGTATGGCAATAAAAGTGACGGTAAGCGAGCGAGCGAGCGAGAGAGAGAATGAGTGAGAATGGTAGTGGATGTTGGTGGTTTCTAGACGGTTGGGTTTGGGCAATGGATTCAACAGATAAATTTGTAAGAATACGTAATGGTAATAGGTATTTTGGTCATTCTGCACTGTTTTATCCTTATGGACATAATAAAGTAGCATTTAGGCTTTTGAACAAAAGACATTCAAATTTAAATTTTTGAACCGAATGCCTTTGGTAAGAGCTGGGGGCTAAGCAAGAGGTTTTATATCATCACATTTTTTCATTCACATCACAATTAATATAAGAAAAAGAAAAAAAATATTTTTTAAATTTTATCTAGAGAAAGATATTATAAAATTGTTTGATTTAGACTAATTTTTAAAAATTAATTTTTTTTAATTTTCTACATTTTTTAAAAATATTTTACCATTTTTTTTTAATTTTTAAATACACATAATCAAAATATACTTAAAAAAATATAATATTTGTACACCCTTGTTTCATGAAGATTCTCTATTATTGGATTACACATATAATAAAACATGAATAAATTACATTTTGCCCCCCTAAAGTTTCATCCATTTTTCACTTTGGCCCTTTAAGCTTGATTTTTCCCACTTTAACCCTTCATGTTTGCAATCCTTCTCACTTTGACCCTTTAAGTTTGATTTTTCTCGCTTAGGCCTTTCATATTTGCAATCCTTCCTACTTTGTCCTTTTATATTTGCAATCCTTCACACTTTGGTCCTTCATGTTTGCAATCTCGCCCACTTTACTCCCAGACTAACTTACATCTAAAAAATTAATAGAATTTACCACATCACCAACACATCAACTCCACGCGTGATGTAAAAAATTCACTAAAAATGCAAAAAATGAAAAATAAATAACAAAAAAATTAAATTTTTTTTTAGTCTATAGTGAACTTTTTTTTTTCAAATTTATTCATAAACATTATTTCATTATAAATGCATCTACATCAGATGCACCTAAAAAATAAAAATAAAATTACTTAAAATATTAAACAAAATTTATTAAAAAAAATAAAGTTTAATTTTAAAAAATCAATCAAAAAACAAAAGTGAAATTTTAGAAGGCACGTTCCAAAGCAAGTTATAGCATTCAACACAAAACACCATATTTTACAACACTCTACGCCCTTGCGAAGCAGTCATTAGTATTCACATTTCACACTCATAAAAGAGTTAAAAATGCTAAGCTACATCTATCAATTTGCCCTTCTTCTCCATCTCCTCCTTCGGCACCGTCACCGTCACCGTCAACACTCCATCCTTGAGCCCACACTTGATTTCGTCCACCTTGAAATTCTCCGGCAGCCGGAACCGCCTCAGGAAGTTTCCGAGCCGCCTCTCAACACGGTGCCAGATGTCGTCATCGGAGTCCATCTCCTTACTCCGCTCGCCGCTCATCTGTAATATGTTGCCGTCTTCCACCTGCACCTTCACTTCGTCTTTCCGCACCCCTGTAATTACACAACCGGCTTAGTTTAGCCAACACCGACTGAACAAACATACACCCTGGTGATACAATTGCGCATAACCCTATTCCGCAACCTATGGTCGCCGCTTCCTTCTCTTTCATGGAACCGTGCTGACTAACTTGCGCCCAATTTTATGGCCCAAACTATGAGATTTTAAAAATGACAAGAGACACCGTGCAGTGACACTAACCTCTTTTTTTTAGTAAATTATATATAGGTCTTATTTTTTATTTTTTTTTAATGTATTACCCATTAGGTTCTATTGATAAATTTATTACTAATTAATAAATTTATCAACATAAATAATTGAAAATTTCTCTACTTTATAAAAATATTGGGTGATTTTAACTATTATAAAAATATTATATATACTTTACTTTATAAAATTCTAATATCGAAAACCTTAAATTAAACCTATGATTTAACTATTAAATCTTAAGTCATGTAAAAAAAATTTAAAAAAAACAACTCTTAATAAATAATTTAATACTTAACAATACATTATATTAAGGGTTATTCTGAGTATAACTTATTTTTTTTTAACTTTTTTGATTATTATAAAAAGACATGAAAAAATTAGAGAGGCAATATAATAAGAATAAGTCAATAAATTAATAAGTAGCTCATCTGAGGTGTTCCTAAAAAAGTCTTATTAAAATTGAAATAGAGTAATGTCTCGCCAGTGTTCAAAAAAATTATTTTGTTAAGAAAGTCTTGTGAACTCAGAAATTTATTCCAAATTTTTATATAAAAATGTTTGTTACGTGAAATTCATGTATAAAATGAATATAAATCATTAAAATTTCTGAATAAAATTTAAGTGTCCATTATTATTATTATTATTATTATTATTGCAGAGATAGAAAGAGAACCCCTGAAAAATTAAAAAATAAAAAAGGGAGCAGAGACATAAGCAAACCAGGAAGATCGGTGCGGAAGATGTGGGCGTTATCGGGTTCGCGCCAGTCAACATTTGCACAAGTATAGCTAGTTTTTCATGTTCTTTGTAGGAGTTTAGTTTCTTCGGATACGATAGTCTTATAATTTAGATTTCCGTGATTTTGAATTTAGTTTTACAAGTGCAATGTGTAATAAAAAAGTACAAATGAGATTTTAAATCCGACAAATCTTTAGAAAATTCATTTATCATCAGAGATGTCAGAAATGGACTGCATTGCCAGATTTCAGAGTCGCCACCTAAATACTTTTGAAAAATTTAGGAAACCTGTGACTCGTGCCAAAGACCACTTGTCCGTCATAACCAAAGTGCCTTGGCTCAAGAATTTAGGTATGAGAAGGGAAAAGCATGAATTGAGCACCCCCTCACCCGATCAAATATTAGCCTCTACTAATCATGATGTGATTTTTTATGTATATTATATACTCTTATTCTGATTATTATGCTAACTTACTATGTGATGAACACAAGTATAGACTACGTCACCTACTTTGGAATGTTTTAATTTCATATTTGTTTGAAAAGAATTTTAAATATATGCTATTTAAAAAAGCGAGCTCGTATGTACATTAATCCAAAATATTGTAAATTAAGCGAAATAGCCCCCATTCACAGGCATTCAAAGAGATATATCAAATAATCATTTAGTCTCATGGTAGCATGTTTGATATGGCAACACAAACACATATGCAATATGCTAAAGTAAGAAATGTTCACCTAGTACTCAACCGAGGCAAGTTAAAGAGAAGAAAATAATTAGAAAAAATGCATATTCTAGCATGCAAGTGACTAATGCAACACATACAAAATGCAACTATTAAGTTTGGTTTATTTAACATGCCATACGGATCAACTCAAAGCAGACAGTGATGCATGTATTCATGTAAGTAGGAAATGACAACAATGTTAGAATGATGAACCGAACCCGGTACATACAAAAATGGAGACAACACATGGTAATGATATGAAATGAAAAATATGATGCTACCACGGTAAGCATGTAAATAAAAAGGGAGAAAGAAATGAGGATTGAAAAACATACACTGTGTGGGGACATAATTTTTGAATGACAACACGTGGCCGAGGTGACACCGAAGTGTCAGCCGAGGTGTCACGTGTCTTGGTCATGACACCGAGATGATCTCGGCTAGGCTGAGGTTATCTGTGAAGAAATCGGAATCCGGAATAAGCGGATAAGGGACAAGAGTCCTAGAATGGGAGAGGACTTCAGCTTGGATAAAGATAAGACTCTTAGAGAGTTTATCCCAATCCTACTGGGAGTCCAAGATTAGCAATAATCCTAAGTCCATTGAAGCTAAGCTTCTATTGGGATTAGGTAAGTGTTGGTTATAAAAGAGAGGTACCCCCATGGGTCTAAGGTATGCTTTTTATACTCTAAATAGTGGTTAAGCACTTTTGCTATCTTTGAAAGATAACAGACTTGATCGTGAAAGTGCCTCCGGGTGGACAAACCACCGCCGGAATCTCTTCTTTTTGTGACAGGTCGTTCGGGCTTAATCTATTCTACCAGTGTTTTCCAGCTGAGTGCTTGATTGGCAGTGTGGTCAGAAATTGACACACACAATTTGGCGCCGTCTATGGGAAAGAAAGGAGAATAGATGGCCAACAACGGACGGAAAGAGAAGGTTGGGGACAACACTCCTACTGAGAATGAGAAACATATTGACCTTGACGTTGAAGAAGATAGCTGCAACGAAGAGACTCGTGATAAGAATCACAGAGGAAAAGACGTCGGCCAGGAGGGCGGTGTACCGAAGAAATTGGACCAGAGCGGGTATTATAACGAGGACGACCTCCAGGTATGGAAAGATAGATGCCTGCAGAGGGACGACGAGATGAAGGGAATGGCGGACAAATTGGCAGACCTACAAACAGTCGTCAATTTCATGATGCAAAACAACGTCATGCAGCCACCGTTCCCGCTACAAGATACGCCGATTCCAGCAGCCAAGAAAGGTGCCCAGAAAGGAGGGCAGAAAACGGTTCCTGCAGTCCCTCAGCATGGCAAGACCAAGGGACATTTTCACCGGCCTTCGCGGGAGGTCGGGCATGGAGAATCCCTGAAGACACGATCTCGGCCTAGATGATTAGGTCCGAGAAGAGAAGAGCTCACCTTGAGTGAGCAAATCCAAGATTCCAGAAGACAAGATCTCAGCCTAGATGATTAGGTCTTAAAAGAGAAGAGCTCAGCCTAAAGTGAGCAGATCCCAAATTTCAGAAGACAAGATCTCAGCCTAGATGATTAAGTCCGAGAAGAGAAAAGCTCAGCCTAAGTTAAAGACCTTTTATATGAAGTCCACAAAGGAGTAGGTGGAAGCCATGCAGGGGGCAGATCCCTTGTCCATAGAGCAATATCGCAGGGATTCTTTTGGCCTAACATGCAAAAGGAAGCTGAAGCCTATGTAAAAAAACGTGAAAATGTTGTTAAAATCCACCTGCAACGTGCGAGAGAACAACAATTCGGCTGGGGGCATACCAGCAAAAACTTGCTAGGGCTTACAACAAGAAGGTTAGCTCAAGAGAGTTCAAGATTAGGGACCTCATCCTGAGAAATGTTGTCAGCAATAAGAAGGATAATAGAGAGGCCAAACTTGGGCCAAATAGAATCATCTCGGTTGCCGACAATGGAGCATATTGGCTGAAGTAATAATAAAGTGCTAGTTTGACTTTTGTGAATTTGAAACCTATGTGATAGGACCGACCGGTCCTATGACGATGTTTCTGATTGAAACATGAAAAATAACTTAGACTTATTATATGGCATATAATAGAGTTGAACTAAGTTGGCGATGTTTCTGATTGAAAAATGACGAATAACTTAGACCTATTATATGGCAGAGTTTCTACTTGCATATAATAGAGTTGAACTAAGTTGAATTAACCTGGACTTGCCATATTGGCAGAGTCAAACACAGATTGAAACTAAGTGCACTTGGGTAAGATTAACAAAAGAACCAAGGTTGAGAACATCGGCTAGTCTCTGTTTAAATATAGACTTCGGCAACGAGGTCAGAGCCACATGCTTAATGAGAACCCAAGTGGAACTTAAGTTCACATTAGAGGGCTGGAGAATGATGCTTGGAGTTGGAATTTTCAAGCCAAGGTCATGTTTAACAATTGTTGAAATTTAAGAAAAATTTACAAGTTGAAGTTAAACTGAGGTAATGTTTAACACTTGTTGAAATTTTATGAAAAATTTACAAGTAGAAGTGAATCCAAGGTTATGTTAAAGGAAGATTGGTTTAAACACTTGTTGAAATTTTAAAAAAAAATTTACAAGTTAAGCTAAGGTTGTATTGAAAAGAAATACCTATGTACTTGTCGAAATAAACCAATAGTGGTTTAACCGAGGTATTCCATCCCAAGGAGGTTGCACAGTTAAGGTGTACATTGAAGACATGCAAATTTTTCTAAGTATAGAATCATGTAAGAGTAAAAAGAAGACAAACATTCAAAGCACTTGAAAGGGAAAAAAGTTGTATATGCATTCAAATAAGGAAAGAAGGCACCTCAGCCTGACATTGAAAAATGATTGTTTAGATTACAAAAATGACACGTTAGCCAAATTAAAGCTTACATTGTTTCAAAAAGTAAGAAAAAAGTATAAGGTACAAAGAAAAACACAGACTGATAAAGGAGGAAATAGTGACTTACTGAAGAAAAATGAAGCCGGTGTTGAGTACGCCGGAGTCAGATGATGGCAACAAACGGAAATGATCAGCAAAAACCTCACCGGAGGAGACGAACGGCAGTGATTGTAGTGAGCTTTAGAGATTGAAGCAATAGGAGGATTAGAGAAAGTTAGAGAGAGAAAGCTTGCATGAAGACGAAGATGCAAAAGTGAAAAGACAGAGAGAGAGAAGTGATTTTGATCAAACACACGAAATGACGGCAAAAACGTATTTAGTGTGCCTAGGACGACGTGTTTGTCAGATGGCGCACACAAGTGCGATACGACTTAATGGCGCGTGTCAGGCACGGCTCAATAGGGGAAAGACACGTGGCAAAAATGGTTGAGTTGCTGTGCGTGACAGCTCATACGCGTGATGAAACTCTTGGAGTTCTTAATTTAATGGAGCAGGACCTCGGCTAGGAGGACGATCCCGGTTGTGAAACTTGAAC